TTACAAATGCTTTACATTAATTTGTACATAAGAGGAGGACACTAAAGCATAGAAATTTAGGCAACCTCCCAAGGTCACAGAGCCAAGATTTGAACATGGAGTCTCACTCCAGAACCCTCACTTTCAGACATTTACGTTCTTATTATAGTTATTTAACTTTACTCTGTCTTTTGTCATTACCACCTAAGTGTCTCATCCTCCACTCTGCATACTACACACACTCTTATTTGTCTTCACAACCTGGCCACAGACTTTGTGTCTTTATGCTCCTGTCCCAACTAACAACTTACTTGAAATCACTGTATCTCAAGTCAAAATTCCAGAAAGAAAAAATCTAATTGTCTCTATCAACAGTTCTTAGAGTAAATCACCTCCTCTTTCTATAATTTGGCTGCCAGCAGGTCAGATGCCAGTATTAGTTACCTAGTACTATGTAACAAGTTACACCAAAATGTAGTGACATAAGTAGCTATTTATTATGCTTATGAAGTCTGTGGGTTAGGAATTAGAACCAGGCAGGCTAGGGACCATCTGCCTCTGCCTCCCTATGCCTGGGCCTCTTTAAGACTAAAGTCTGGGGGTTATAACACCTGGAGACTCACTCACAGGTCTGGACTGATGCTGAAAGGACTCAAACAGTCAGGGGCGGGAAGAACTGGTTCTCCTTGGACATCTCTATGTCTACATATCATCCCAAATGACCTCTGCAGGATGGTGGCCGCAGGGCAGCTAGGCTCCATATAATCTCAGAGCTTCTGAAGTCTGTATCCCACCAGAAAGAACCAGGGGGGTATTGTTTGATTTTGTTATAACTTCTTTTTTAGTCTCAGGCTCACACAGATTCATGGGAACTCACCCTGCACCAAAAGTAGGAAAGGGGCAGCAACACTGACGAGTGAGATAGGAAGCTGCTCATGGAAACACTCAGCTCGCTGACCGTTTCTTCCATGGGTCTCCCTGGCCTCAGAGTTACAATCTGCATCTCCTTTAGATACGTGGCCATGATCACCTGGCCCAAATGCTACAACTATTTCCACCAGGAAATTAAATTGTCTGCTCTAACAACTGTACTACGGTCCAAACTTAGCTTTCAGTCCTCTTCCAAGGTGGAGCCCTCAGACCATGAAGCCAAGGGGCTACTTATTTTCAATGTGATATGGGTTTATTCTGAGGGAGAAATTACTACTTTATTGCACATGGAGAGTATGGATGATTCTGGGTGCTACTCTCCACCCCAACCCCTGGACTATGTAGTATCTTCCCCAAACTTCTGGACAAGAATCAGAAAAGATAGCCCCTTCAGTTTGGGACTGAGCAAAGAAGATGCTATCCTGAGAGGAATGGGACTCTATTCACCCCTCTTTTAAAATAATTAATTTGCATGTGTTTTACAAATATGATTGCAATATTCCTTCTATTATTATGGTTCAATTGTAAATTATCTCATAATAAGTTATGGTTACGTTCTCTAATTTTCAGTACGGCAAGTACTTTGTATGATAATTCTTTTAGAGAATAAACAGTTATCAAGAGAGTACCGTTCCCTGAACACTAGGATCGCACTGACTTTGAGGAATTCTAAAATAACAATCAACATTTCCCTCGTGGAGTTATTGTTTGCTCTTAGATTTACAGAAGGCCTTAGGTGATTGGCTTCATTGTTTGTTTTAAGCAAATCATCTTCTCAAAGAGATTATAGTATGATGCTGTTGTTGTTTTTCTTTTCTTTCTTTCTTTCTTTTCTTTCTTTTTTTTTTTTTTTTGGAGAAGATAGAACCCTCTTTGCCTGTGGGCTATAAGGTGCAATATTTTTCTCCATATTAAATCTGAAAGCTAAAATTATTGACTCCATTTGGGTAAAATGTGAACAGAAGCTTCTCTTTCAGGGCATTCCTCCCACATTGCCAGTGATGTCCTGTGCATAGAATTAGGCAAATTTTCAGCGAGGCCCTTCTCTTCCTCTCCAACACCTCGAGCATGCTCTTCAATGACCCCAAAAGGTAGTTGTTGTTTTTTTACAAGATCTAGCAAATTGATAAACTTCTAGCCAGACTGTCAGGGAAAACTAGAGAAGACACATATTACCAGTTGCAGGAATAAGAGAGGGAGCACCTCTATAGATTCCAAATTATTAATGGGATTATATGAATAATGAAAATTTTATTCCAATGAATTTTAGTAAATGAAATGGATAAATCCCACCCAGTGAGGGACCTGCAGGAGGCAGTCAAGCAGTGATTCTCTCTCATTGTTGATGTTTCTATCTCTCATTCCTCTTCCTTCCTCTCTGAAATCAATAAAAATATGTACAAAATAAAAAAGGAAAAAAAATGGATAAATTCTTTTAATGATACAATAAAAAAACACAAAAAAATAAATATTAACCTGAATGATTCTATATATATTAAATAAACTTGTAGTTTAAAAGAAGTCTCCATATGGTTCCAGGTGGGCACTTGAATTATCAGAGAGAAAACTTTGTAAAGTATGTGATTATCTAACTGCTGTGTTGTACACATGAAAAAAAAAAATCTCCCCTACAAAAAAACAAACAAAAAAAACCCTGCAGGCTTAGATGGTTTCATTAATGAATTCTATCAAAAATGTAAAAGATTATACCAACTCTATAAAAATATTTTTCAGAAAATTAAAATTAATTCTATGACGTTAAATTACTCTGACATCAAAACTGGAAAAGACATTACTAGAGAACTACAGGTCAATGTCTTTCATAAATACAGACACAATAATCTGCAACAATAATCAATCTAATCCAAGAATACCTAAAAGGGATAATACATATCATGATGAAGTGAAGCATTACATCTCAAAAATGCAAAACTAATTCAAACCAAAAATAAATCAATGAAATTCACCGTATCTATAGACTAAAGAGAAAACAGATGCAGAAAAAGTCTGTGACAAAATTTGTCATCTCTTCATGACAAAAACTTTCTGCAAATTAATAATAGAAGGAAACTTCATCAATCTGATAAAGAATATCTAGAAAGATTATATAACCAATATTATACATCATAGGGAGAAACTAAATGTTTTTTCCCATACGATACAGAACAAAGCAAAGATGTCCCCTCTCACAACTTCTATTCAAAATTATACTGTAGGTTTTAGCCAGTGCAATAAGGAATAAAAAGTAAGAAAAGGTCCCCAGAATTGAAAGAAAAAATAAAACTATCTTTTTTTACATATGATATGATTGTTACATAGATATCTCAAAGAAATTATGACAAAACTATTAAAATGATTAAGTAGATTTGGCAAAGTTGCAGGATATAGACCAAATGTTCAAAATCAATCGTAAGTTTATATATGAACAATTGAAAATTGAAATAAAATACAATTTATAATAATTCCAAAAATATGAAGTACTTTAATAAAAATCTTATGAAAGGTGTGCAAGACCTATCCATTGAAAACTATAAAACACTAATGAAAGAAATAAAAGGAGACATAAATAAATGGAGAGATATATCATTTTAACATACTGAAAAGCTCAATATTGTTAAGATGTCAATTCTCTCCAAATTCATCTATAAAGATTCACAAACATGTAAAATAGACAACATAGTATTAAATAACCAATGGGTCAAAGAATAAATCACAAGGAAAATTAGAAAATACTTTGAGATGAATATAAATGAAGATATAATATATAAAAACTTCTGGTATAAAAATAAGTGTTTGGAAGGAAATTTATACTGTAAACACCTACATCAAAAAAGAAGAAAGATTTCAAGTCAAAAATGTGATTTCCATTTTAAAACGCTGGTGAAAAAATAATGTCAAGTCCAGAAAAGCAGAAGAAAGGAAATTATACAGCTTATAGTGGTAATTAATAAAATGGAGAATATAAAAACTAGATATGTGCGGGATGATGGCACTATTTTATATCTTTTTTAAAAAATGTATTTTATTGATTTTTTTACAGAAAGGAAGGGAGAGGGATAGAGAGTTAGAAACATTGAAGAGAGGGAAACATCAATCAGCTGCCTCCTGCACATTCCCTACTGGGGATGTGCCCGCAACCCAGGTACATGCCATTGACTGGAATCGAACCTGGGACCCTTCAGTCTGCAGGCCGATGCTCTATCCACTGAGCCAAACTGGTTAGGGATATTTTATATCTTGATTTTGGTAGTGGTTAAACAACTGTATAAGTGTGTCAAAACTTCTAGGATTTTACACTAAAAATTGTGAATTTAATGACATGAAAGTTCTACCTTAAAAATGAAAAAAAAAAGAAAATCAGGCAACTAGACATTTATAAAATTTTTTCAAAAATATTTTATTTTCAATGTTTTTATAATTCAATGACCTCTGATTTTATCAAATAAAAGCATTCATGACATAACTCAGACTTGTGTTCTAAGTTTTGACTTTAAATATTTTATTAGGTCACCCTGATCTAATACCATTAAAATGAGTTGGTGAGTTTTTATGATGTTAGACAGCAAAGATAGAATGGTAGAGGGGCTCAAAGAGAATGGAGAAATGGTAATTTTCCACACAGTGGAACATGAGTGTGCTGTTGACCAAAATGCTCACTTTCACCTAACTTCCTTTGGTGTCTGTGGGTTTAAAGAGCTACTGCTTTGTTCCTCTTCACCCCTTAATACTTTAAACATACTTATGATGTTGAAATCAACAAACAAAGGATAACTGAACATATACACATAATGCATATGTGCTTCCTTCAACATAATTGTAGTTCAACTACTGAGTTTGATACTTTCAAAGGATACTATTCCAGTGGGTAGAAATGTCAAGAAGTAGAAATATAGAATACATGAAGATGTGTTCCTAGGTCTGGTATTTTAAAAATAAAAATATTTTCATTTCCAATGTTATAGGCCAGGGGTCCTCAAACTACGGCCCATGGGCCACATACAAATACAAATATTGTATTTGTTCCCGTTTTGTTTTTTTACTTCAAAATAAGATATGTGCAGTGTGCATAGGAATTTGTTCATAGTTTTTTTTAAACTATAGTCTGGCCCTCCAATGGTCTGAGGGACAGTGAACTGGCCTCCTGTCTAAAATGTTTGAGGACCACTATTATAGGCTTTTTACTTTATCTTTTTAGGTAAGAAATAATATAAGTTTAATGAGAAAAAATAAATTTGTAATCTCACTAAACTATAATTTACATATATGACTATCTACTTACTATTTTCATCTGAACAAATCATTCAACAACAGAATTTCAAAAATGGAAGAGATTTCCCTTAAATAATCCTTGCCCTTTATATATGAGGAATCAGAGAAAATAATACAGTTGGCAAAGACTATGCAAATAGTTAATGATAGAATTGGCACTAAAATTCAAGTCACTAGATTTTGTAAGAGTTTTATAGTTTAAAAACTAATACTAGTTATCTTTAACATAGAGAAGAAATGTCTTTATTATCAAACTTGTAAGTTATTTAAGCAGATACCTTAAGGCCATCTTTATAGAAACAATAAGATAAATTCAATGCAGTAATCCTATCTAATAATAGAGAAACATGGTAATTAACCGTAACTTCACTACCCTTCCATTGGCTAATCAGTGAGATATGCAAATTAACTGCCAGCCAAGATGGCGGTTAATTTACATATATTGGCTGGGAGCATAGCAAGCCAGGCAGCTGAAAACAAGCTGGGCGGCAAACGTGGGATCAAAACAACCCAGCCGGGCAGCTGAGGGAGGTGGGAACGATCAACCTGGGCCGGGGGCTGAGGGAGGCGGGAACAAAGAAGCCGGACATCCCCCAAGGGGTCCTAGTCTGCAAGAGGGCACAGGCCAGCCTGAAGGATCCTCCCCCCTTCCCCGAGTGCACAAATTGTTGTGCACTGGGCCTCTAGTCCTATATAATAAAAGAGAAACATGTAAATTGATCATCCCTCTACTACACTCACCAGCCAATCAGGAGTGAGTATGCAACTTAACCCAACAAAGATGGCGGGTTAATTTGCACACAGGCGCCAGGCGGAGAGCAAAGAGGGCAAGCCGGTGGAGAGTGGAGTGGCTTGGGGAACTTGGCTCCCCAAGCCACCAGACGGAGAGCAGAGAGGGAGAACTGGTGGCTTGGAGGACTTGGCAGAGTGGGAGGCCATGGGATGGAGAAAGAGCAGGAAGGGAAAACCAATAGCATGGGGAGCACCAGGGAATAGTAGTTCTGGTGGCAGCCCCAGGACCCGAAACAGAAGCCCAGAGTGCGGGGAGCACTAGGAATGCTGGGAATTGTAGTTCTGGTGGCAGACAGATCTAGTGGTTGGCAAACCGCGGCTCATGAGTCACATGCGGCTCTTTGAGTGTGGCTCTTCCACAAAATACCACATGCGGGTGTGCACATACAGTGCGATTGAAACTTCGTGGCCCATGCGCAGAAGTTGGTTTTCGGCCTGGGCGAGTCTATTTTGAAGAAGTGGCATTAGAAGAAGTGGGGGGTGTCAGTCAGTTGGGCAATGGGAGATGAGGCACAGGAGGGCTGCGGGATATGCAGCACAGGGGAGGTACATTCTTTTGAGGTACATTAGCTGAAGTTGACCCCTTCCAACTCTCCCATCCACACTCATCTATCGGAAACAAGTATACAAGACGAGTGTGGATGGGAGAGTTGCAAGGGGTTGACCTCAACTAACGTACCTCAATCTGATTGAGGACGTTTTTAGCAAAGGCCAGCTTAGGAGTACCCTAATTAAGTTAATAATAATTTACCAACTTATATAGTTTAAGTTTAAAAAATTTGGCTCTCAAAAGAAACTTCAATCGTTGTACTGTTGATATTTGGCTCTGTTGACTAATGACTTTGCCGACCACTGGCCTAGACCAGTGGTTCTCAACCTGTCCTACACTAGAGCAGTGGTTCTCAACCTTCCTAATGTCACGACCCTTTAAATACAGTTCCTCATGTTGTGACCCAACCCTAAAATTATTTTCGTTGCTACTTCATAACTGTAATGTTGCTACTGTTATGAATCGTCATCTGTGAGCAACAAACAAAACCGAGTTGGGGTCTCAGACAATTCGCTCATATGATTACAAAGACAGACAGAAACTCCCGGATTGGAGAGGGCTCCCCTGAGGGCTCCCAGATTGGAGAGGGTGCAGGTCAGGCTGAGGGACTCCCACACACCCAGTGCACGAATGTTGTGCACCAGGCCTCTAGTATGTAAATAAAGGGTAAAAAAACGAGATTGTGGAAACACAAGATATAGTTTATATTATCCAAATTAATGGACATTTTCCTAAACAACCTTTTACTTTTCCATTTTCAAATTTACTACAGTGGTTTAAAATGCATAGAATTCACTATAGAATACTGTGTCCAATTTTAAATTTTACATAATCATTAGTGTAAACACCTTTAAGTCAAGCATCTTTGGAGAATTGATAAGAAAATAAAGTAACCCAGTTTATTTCTAAGTGATTCATATAATTAAAGTTTTACATAATTGAACATGAATTGTTCGTTTCTGTATCCTGGAGTACACATGGTAGGAAACTTTTAGTCATAAAGCATCTCTGTCTCCAGGATGTAAATGCCTTTGACATTGCTGGATGATTGTGTCACTGAGGGAATGGGCACCATCTGTCCCTGCTTAGTTGTGTTGAGAATGTTGACCTGACAGCACAGGGTGAAACTGGAGATGCCTGAAGGAGTATCTCCATTCCTTTTTAACCTAGTAATATGTTATCTGAAGTGTTGCAAAGCCATATGAGTGTAGGTCTGTGAAATGAAGACAGTAGAATTATTGTCAGACTGCAAAAGATTAATTATGGGAGTTTAGAAAGGGAAAGAATTACACAGAAGCTATCTGGGTTCAGAACTAATAACCTTTTCCAGCTGTCATACAGAAGTAAAGGGGGGAAGCAGATTATTTTGCTGAGAATCTAAATGAGACTGCTGAGTTAGAGACCTGGGTTAGAGAATACAGATGATGGTAAAAAGAGGCTACACTGAGATGAGGGTGTTATATAATTAGATTACAACAATATTCCATTTAGTTCCCAATAAACTTGGAAGGATAGCTTTGTAATCATAATTCACCCTTTAAGAAAATAAATTTATTGGGGTGACATTGCTTAATAGGATCATATAGGTTTCAATTGTACATTTTTATGATACGTGATCTGTATATTGCATTGTATACCCGTCATCTAATGTCAAATCATCTTCCTTTCACTTTGGTCTATTATAGCAAAAGAACAGAAGAGAAGCAGACATAAATGTCAGCCAATTGCAAGGGTTTTATTTCCTTTGACCCACAGGTCTGATTTTATAAGTAGTCTATTATCTCCACTTACACTACATATGTGTACCTAATTAACTCATCACATTACTCATCCTGGAACATTCTCTTCCTCTCTCCTTCTGTGCTCTCACTTTCTATTAATGGGACTAGCATCACCTCAGCTCCAAAGCTTGAAATCGTTTTAGCCCTCCCACCCATGATTTGCTTAGTAATTGGGTCTACTTCCAAATATATCTCTAATTTGTTCTCTTTGTTTCAATATTGCAATCACAATTCAACCCTTCCTTTCTTACCATGTGTTTATTTTCTCAATATTCAAGCTGGATTCCCTTTCTCCAATCTTCCCTCCATAGTCTGATTTATTATTCATTTTCCTAGAGACAAACTCTAGTCACATTTTTATCATGTAAATCTTTGGTTATGCCAGACGATCTGTTAGATAAAGCCCAAATCCAAGTAGGCAATCATGGTTTCTTGTTCTATGACTCTATATTCCCTTTTTTTCCTCTTTCATGTTCCCTGCTCTGAGTTTCTTTGCCTCTGTAACTTATTTGTGATGTTTCCTCTGCCTGGAATGCCCACTCACTTTCTATTTCACATTTAAGACCTAGATAAAATTTTGCATCCTACACAGAACTTCCTTGGGTTATACAGTTATGAACAATTTTTGCCACTTGAATGTTCACAGAATGGGCTGACAGATGCCACCTAGGAATATTATGAGGACTCGATATTGAAATCACAGTACTGTTGGTCAATACAGATATCTTTGCAGTTCAGACCATCATGTTAAAAAGAAAAAAGATAATATGGCCAGTACAACTCCCTACCCTAAAATAATTCCAAAAGAAGATTTTGAAAAATAAAAATTAGTGAGCCATCTCCCTATATTTGGAAGTTTGGTTGAATTCATAATAATATTTTTTTAAAAGCTCACTGAACATTTAAGCATGAAAAACAAGAAAAAGAGGAACATTTTTAAAGGAAAAATATTTGAATAACCCACTGGGATTTCTTTAAAAGGACAGATAACCATAAAGTGATGTGGGACTCTGCGGTATGATTGTTAGACTTCTGTGGCAAAGAAATGTCTGTTTCCTATCATTCCATGTCTCATATTCTGTAACAATTCACGATTTTCACAATTCTCTAAATAATCCATGCCCTTTCATATCTCCATGTCTGTTCATCCTTTTCTTGGTTCTTTAAGCTAGATTAAATGTTACCTTATTTTTGAAACCTTCCCCCAAAGCAACAAAATAAATTCATATTCCTCTTCAACCTCCTGGCATTTTGGCCCTATTTCAATCATGATAGCACTCACAATGGTGCCCTAATTACTTTTTACACATACTCCTACTTATGAGTAAATCCCTGTACTATGGGGACTTAGCTATTATTCACTCTTCATGCCACAGAATCTAGCAAAGTATAATATTGAATAAATAAAAGAATAAAATTAATGAACATATGATAGGAACTACTAAACCCAAGTTGCAAAAGAAAATGAGATTCAGAACTTAAATTACTTGCTCTTATCCAGCTAACCAATCGGTAAGAAAGCTAATATTCAAATTCGGTTTTCTTACCCCAAAGCTAACATTTATTTCCCAAATTCACTCACACGACTTTCTTTGCTAAACCCTTGAGTATTTAAACAGGTAACACTCTTGGAGCTTCACTAGCTAGGTTTTTTTTTTAAAAGGAAGAGGCATACTTCCTTGCACAGAGGCAGAACTGGAATGAGCCTTAAATACAAATAACTACATAAAATGATTTATTTATGTGCAGGGCACATTCATAAAAGATTAAGGTAAAACAAAATATATTAAAACAATTCTTGCCCTAGCCAGTTTGGCTCAGTGGATAGAGTGTTGACCTGAAGACTGAAGGGTCTGGGTTTGATTCTGGTCAAGGGCACATGCCCAGGTTGCTGCTTGATCCCCAGTGGGGGGCATGCAGGAAGCAGCTGGCAATGATTCTCTCTCATCATTGATGTTTCTCTCTCTCTCTCTCTCTCTCTCTCTCTCTCTCTCTCTCTCTCTCCTCCCTTTCTCTCTGAAATCAATAAAAATAAATAAAAGTATTTTTTTAAAAAACCCCACAATTCTTAATTAGAGAAAGCCATGCTCTTCTTCATCAACCCTTCGTGTGACTGTCAAAGATAAATAATTGGACTCCAGGTCTGAAACAATATATGACTCAAACAGACTTCAGCCTGAAAAAACGAATGTGATGTGCCCGACATGCCCCTCAGTGTTGGTGGTACTAAGAGGGGATGAGTTGATTAATGTGGCCTGCTAACTATACAGTATATTATTTTAGCCAGACAAAAGAACTGTGTGATTAGAAAACAAATCAATTATTTCAGGTTACTTGAGATTGTTTTAAGTGCCTTTAAACAGGGAAATTGCAGTCAAATCTCATGTCCATATTGTAAATGGATTAGCCACGTATCCACTTCACAATTGATTCCAGTTGTGTCTACAGACTTGGCCATTGAGCAATTCCAAGAAATATTTCTACCCACCAACACTACCTTCTCAATGGCAGGACTACTGGCAGAGATAAGAAAAATGGGTTATTCTGTTTATACCAGAACTGAGGTAAAACATTCTAGGTTTGACAAAGCTAGAAGCAGAGGATATTTCTAAAGGAAACACTCTGCCCCATTTGTAAAGACATGACCTCGTTTGTCATTGGGTTTCTTTTTCTAGCAAAACATATGACATTGGCTGCTTTGGGGAATGTGAGTCCATTCTCTGTGGATCATTGGTCTGATGCATTGTAGCCACATGTGCACTGCTGTCTTACATTCTCCTTAAGCATTCTTATTCTGTACTGATTTTTAAAATATATTCTTATTGATTTCAGAGAGAGGAAGGGAGAGGGAGAGATAGAAACATCAATAATGAGAGAGAACCATCGATCGGCTGCCTCCTGCACCCCCTCCTGCTGGGGATCGAGCCCACAACCCAGCCATGTGCCCTGATCAGGAATGGAACCCTAACCTCCTGGTCATGGGTCATGCCCAAACACTGAACCGCATCAGCCGGGCTGTCGTAATTTAAAAAACAACATTATGCAATTTGCTGTCAATTTATGCAGAACTGTTGAAGTGTGATGTTATTTTGGTCAAAACTAGATTGCATAAATTCAAAAACCCTAACCTGAGATTATTCAATTTCACAAATTAAGAAGCCGGGTTAAACTGACTCCATGTATTTGACCACTAATCTCTCCTGCCTCCCATGTGGACACCAGACAACTCTCTTCCCCCACTGTTGTCCAAACAGGGCCTTTCAAGAGCCTCACTTACCCACTTCCTCCTGCCACCAGCATATCTGCTATTGGTGGATACTCAACAAACGTTAATTTTTTTTTCAACCAAACAGGTCTCAGCCCCAGAGTGCTACAAAAAGGGAATTGGAGCAAATACCACAGAGAACATCGATTCCATTGGAGGAGGAGTGTACCATGGTTCTCCCATTTGTATCTCCCTTTCTCTTTCTATTCTGTTATTTCTAAGCAAGCATAGTCCCTGATAAAATAAATAACCTTCCAAGAAACCCACAGACACTCACAGGCAAAGCACCTA